TCTCAATCTCTTGACCTCATGATCCACCCACCTCAGCTTCCCAAAGTGCTGGGATTACAGGTGTGAGCCACTGTACCTGGTCGAATTGCTTTCTTGCTAAATCCTATTAAAATATGCAAAAATAAGTCAGATTTTAAGGCAAATAAAGTGACATAGGTGCTTTATATTTTATTTTGGTATATTTAAACAGTGTAAAACTAACTGAAAGCATATGAAGAGTTGTAACTTGGGGGAAAATAGGTAAACATAGCTTCTAGCTAACACAGGAGACCTATTCTTACTTGGCCTTTAGTAATTTCAAGCAGTGTATCTGTTATGGTATCTCTTGCTCTCCCTTCAACTCCAATAAATTTAATTACTAACTGCCAAGTTAACAAATGAACTTGCATTTGGATTGTAGCTGTGAAGGCACAACTCTTAATTGCTGTTAGTCTACATGTATTCCTGTAATAGTATTGTGTTGTATCAATTTTTAAGATATCTAAATTTTATGGTCACGAGAAGCTGTTCCTCCTCAGTATGAAAAATAAATTAGATATTGAAAAATGTCTGTCCTTCAGTGATGGAAATAATATTTCAAAAAGTTTTTTAACCTAAATACTTTTATTTTGAATTTAAATCTTTGCACATAAAATATAGCAAGCTTACATATTAAAGTATTTACGTAAATGGAATGTAAGCCATGACTTTTAACCGAAGTGTTCACATTCACTAATTTTGATAGATTGCTGTCCTTAATAATTTTGGAGGAAATTAAGCCAAAAGATTATTGTACTTAAAATATTTTCAGAATGGGGAAATCAATTAAAAATGTAATTAATCTAGTTTAAGATTTTTGTTTAATCATCATGGTGGTCCTAACTGGATAATTTAAATATAAAGACAAGGTAATTCTATTAAATGAACTAACTGAAAATAATAATTATAGGAAGTGATTATTCCATTTTAAGTATTAGAACTCAAATTGGCTTTATTTGCATTTAGGGAGATCATTTTTGTTAATCATGCTGGAATTAAAAATTAAAAATTGTTTTACTTGTATCAAAATTAACCTTGATTTATAACTATTTTTGTAATAAAACAGTGACAGCTGTAGTAACTGTGATGGATGTAACAACTTTTTTTTTTTAAGAAGGGAATCTGTTTATTGCTTTTCAAAATATTTTCTAAAGTTGGGGAAGAAAGTTTATAGACTTTCCAAGCACATTTGTGGTTTTTTATTACTGTTATTATGGGTTTAAAAAGTAACTTTATTTCTTTTTGTAAGGAATTAGTAGTATCCTTCACAGTTCTGTGAAAGGACTTATTTTTTAACTTTAATATTTATTAGTTTTAAAATATTTGTATCTCATTTGTAACAATTTGTTTTAATTTTTTATATGTATGTTTTTATTTTTAAAAAGAACCTACCAGTTGAATGGGGATAAAGCTTTCAATATCTTAAAATATTTATAAAACAGTTCATTGTTGCAAATCACTTCCAAAATGATAGCTATCTAACAACTAATTGTTAATTTTTAAGGAACAAATCACACATTTTAAAAATCTGCAGAATTTGTTTTAACTATGACCTTTAATTGAAAATAATTAAAATATAAGACATGTTTTGGAAAAGTCTTAATTTGAGAATACCAAAGGAAACTACCCCAGAATCTAATGTAGTTAGCTGTTAATAACAATGCATTATTGAAAGTATATTGCAAATACATGTTTCCTCACGAAATCTAAAGTTAAATAATTTTGTTGTGGAATAGTGTCACTGTTACATTTCCCCCATGAAGTTCAATAAACCAGCTTAGCCACAAAGAAATTGTGTTTTATTTCCTTTGTTTGGTTACTGGGTAGAGTATAAAATAAAACGATCTTTTTTTCCTCCTGGTTTCCAGATAATGTTATATATCTGATACACTTAAAAACAACAAAAAGCCTCCAACCCATTGGAAATTTATTTTCTTGTGTACATTTGAGGTTAAATGTATACAAGAACTTCAGGAAAACTCAACAGAGTATTAAAATTAGCTGATAACATAGCTTTTGCATTTGTGTGGTTTAGTAATCCAACTTTTTTTAGAATACTTCGGTGCAAAAAGCAAATGGTGCAAGAGGGGTTGATGTGTATTTAGACGTAAAAGCATTTAACAGAATGAATAACTATAAAAAGTATGAGAAAAGAGAACAAACTACATCTCAGGTATAAGATTGTAGTTACTGATTTAGACCCCATAGGATTAGGGATGTGGGGGCCTCTGATGTTGATTCTGCTTCCCCTGGTCAGTTTATTTTACGTATAAGTTACCCTTGTTGTGTTCAAACACAAAATTGACATTATTCATGTAAGACTGCTTTCTTAATCAGATATTAAGACAAGAAGTTGGTCATGTCTTTTGGGAGTACATTTGCTACAGCCCGTGTGGCAAGGGCAAATGCATTTGGTTTGTTGGAATAACCTGATTTATCAAACATTTAATAAGTATGGGTCATGTGTTCTCTATTTGTGTTAGTGGAGCTACATAGACACTGTCCTTGAAGAATTTAAAAAACAGTATATGAACAAATAGGAATTATACAATATAATGTGATCAGTGTAATCAAAGAAGCATCTACAAAGGACAATGAGCCACAGAGAATGGAGTGGTCTTTTGACTTGGATATGGGAGCAGTAGATAATCAAAAAGCTTCACAATGAGTGGAAGCATTTTTGCAGCATCTCAGGGTAAATGTGAGGCATTCTCCATGTAAAGGAGAAGGAAGAAAGTCATCCCAGGTGAATGCACTGCAGGGCTCAAGAGTGGAGTTGACTTTGGGGGGAATGACTGCTAGGTCAGTGTGAGTATGTGATAGAATGGAGGTGTGGTCAGAACACGGAAGTGAAGCTAGCAAGGTAGATTGTGGTTAAACTGCCAAGTTGCCATATGCAGTGGGATTAGGACTGACTAGGTGCAGTATCTGAAACTCAGTCTGAACCAGCCTGTAATGGGGATTTTAATGTAAGGAGTCTGACTTGTCTCACTGGACTTGAAGACAAGGATGTGACTGGACTCAAAGAAGAGCTGGGATTGAGCACACAATTTCCTAACTCTGGGTCCAGCTTCTCTGCACATCTTCATTTTCTCTTTCTTTTATAACTAGGCTTTTCCATTTTTTAGGTTTAATTAGCAGAAAACATAGCCACTGAGTACTTCTGAACTTTTGGATGCTGCAGGCATCCAAAGAGAGATGAACTCTCAGTCCCAAAGTTGAAATTTCCAGCATAGACTGTTAATTGGCCTGGCAAGAGCCAGGTGTCCACCCAAGACCAATAGCCAAAAAAGATAAAATAAGCAATTTCCACATTTAGGAGAGAAGGTATTTTGGGGGAAGGGGAGCAAAAAAAGAAGACAGTCACACAAAAACATTTGAACTTTACTATTTAGGCAGTGGGTAACTAATGAAAGCATTTTGCAAAGTAGTGAGACCATTAGATTTATGCCATAAATTCCAGCGGCAATGGGAAGGATATGAGGGGATGAAGTCATGGTGACAGTCAGCTTACTGAAATAGCCTAGAAGAAAGAGCTTTAACTGGAACACTGGCAGAAAAAAATATGGATTTGAGGCACTTTAGAACTAAAATCCCCAGGAGTTAAAGACCAAGGTCAGGAATTTCATTGCATGAAACAGTCAGTATTCTTTTCTAGGGCTACTAGTTGCACTCATGTATGGTGGCCAAATGTTTTTTTAAAAAGTCAGTCTTTGGTTTTATTTTTTAGATTATTACATTGCTTTAATTTGCCTTTATCAAAAGTTTGATTCTTGTGATGTTATTTTCATACATGTTTTTCAAAGTGTTTTGAGTCAGATGAAACTTGTCATTTGAAATTATTTAAGTTTTATATCCTAAGCTTTTTGATATTTTTCTTGTTCTGGGTAATTTAATTACAGAAGATTCTGTATATTTTTCTTTGAGTCCCAGAACATTCTTCAAATTATGAAAACAATTCAACTTTTGTTTTGGTTATTCATTCCATAGACTTAACAGAGTATATGGAGCCATTTTATTACTTCTCAACTCCTTATTAATCTTGCTGGAAATGGAGAGTTCCATGTTTCAATAAAATGTGATCAGTAAGGGGACTCCTTTTTTTAAGTTAAATTTTTGTATAGGAAATACATTCACATGGTTCAATATTTGGACCATTCACAAAAGAGTAAATGGTGAATTCTCCTTCCCATTCTTTCTCCCAGCTCCCCAGTTCTTATCACAAGGAACCAGTACCATAAAGTTTTGTTTGTTTGTTTTCATTTTGTTTTGAGACGATCTCAATCTGTCACCTACGCTGGAGTGCAGTGGTGTGATCTCGGCTCACTGCAACCTCCATCTCCCGTGCTAAAGCAATCCTCCCACCTCAGCCTACCAAGTAGCTGGGACTACAGGTGTGTGCCACAACACCCAGCTAATTTTATGTACTTTTTGTAGAGACAGGGTTTTGCCATCTTACCCAGGCTGTTCTGGAACTCCTGGGCTCAAGTGATTATTCACCTTGGCCTCCTGCCCTGATTCCCACGCTGGGATTACAGGCACCAGCCACCACACCCAGCCCCTGAATTTGGTGTGTTTCTTCACATAACAATATACCCTGGAGATGAATTAATGTTAAAATATGTAAGCTTCATCATTCTCTTTTAGGCATCATGGAGTTCCTTTAGTTGGCCGTTATTTAGACAGCCCTCTATTGATGAACATTTAGGTTGTTTCAAATCTTGCTATTACAAGCAT